TACAGCTAGAATTGTTAAAGAATGGCACGAGGAACATTCTAATGAAGTTGAGCATCTCATCTGGCCACCACAATCCTCAACATTATTGAGCAGTTATGGTCGATTTTAGAGATTCAAGTAAGAAGTCGATTTCCGCTGCCATCGTCTCTAAAAGAACTGGTGGGTGTTTTAACTGAAGAATGGGCTAAAATTCCTTTGGAAACAATTCACAATTTGTATGAATCAATACCTCGGAGAATTGAGGCTGTAATTGCCTCAAAAGGTGGACCTACACCATATTAAAATATATTTTGTTGATTTTCCAAGGTGTTTCCATTATTTCGTCCAACCCCTGTATATATATATGACCTTTGTACAAAGATAGTCACTAAAGTCTGTTTGGTAATTATTTCATTATCAAACTTTTGCATCATCAAAATACATTACAGATGGGGTTCTACAACTGTTTCTATAACTCCTATTGAGAAGCAGCATTGGTCTATAATAGAATAATATAATCAATTAAAGGTAGGTTCCAAAAATAGGCATGTTTTGAAAAGGCAAATATAAAGCAATTAAATAAACTTAATACTTCCAAATCAATTTAACACATGGTTTGTTTGTTTTGAATTTCTCACAAAGCTACACGAGGGCTATCTGCACTAGCCATCTCTAATTTAGCAGCGTAAGACTAGAGGGAAGGCAGCTACTCATCACCACGCACTGCCAACACTTGGGCTACTCTTTTACCAATGAATAGTGGGATTGACCATCACGTTATAAGGCTCCCACGGCTGAAAGGGCGAGCATGTTTGGTAGGACAGGAATTCGAACCCGCGACCCGCAGATTGCGAGTTGAGATCCCTAACCACCTGGCCATGCCGGGCCTTTAACACATGGAAAAATAAATACAGCTTTTTACTGCTCAAATGAGTTTGGTGAATTACTTTTTTAGAAACTGTTTGAATTAGTTTTTAAATGTGAAATAAAAGTACTGGAAATTATTCATAGTTTTATAAAAATGCTGCTGTTTGGCTAAATACTATGAAGTAGAATTGTCCTAGTTTCACACGTTTCTGTTTTGATTTTAAGTTTTCTTTATTAGCCTTGTTTGAAAACCTAATTTTGTGCCTATGAGTGCATATAACATTCTTCTAAAATTAACAATAAACAGAAGCAAGTTGTTTTTTCACTGTCTACCACCCAGTCGTGAAATTTATCATAGAAAACATAAGCTGTTTATCGATAATCAATCACAAATAGAGATTATTTTAACAGCAATTGTTGTGGCTTTGTTAACTCATTATTTAATAAAGATAAACAACTTCCTTACAATATTATGTGAAATCCCAGTGGTTCAGCACACTTAATGGGCAGCAAAACAGAACCATATACAGATGATTATCAAAATAGTCAAATTTCACATCTTGTCCTATTAATATTAATGAAATTTTGAGTGTCCCAAGTAAATTTATTATTTTATTGTGTTTTTTCATCCACTTTATACCCAATGTTTCCATAGATTGAAAAAATAAAAAAATATAATTAGAAGTTGTTCTCTCTTGGTATTGTAAAAGCTGTCAATAATGCCAATATAGCCAAAAAAACACAATATATGATTATTGGATGGTGTCACTTGACTAATAAGAATCAGAAATTTTACAGCAACAGTTTGTAAAGATGAACTGAGTAAGACAAGCTAAGAAAAATGGCTGTCATGTGAAGAAAAACGAGGTGAAAAATGGACAAAAGATCCTAAAATCAAAGTAAAAACATTGTTACAATTCAGTTGTGATAAAGATGATGTAAAACTTACCTAATGTTAATTTTGCCATACACAAAAGGGCCATATAATATGTTGTAAACATTATACTGACAAATAAATTCTTGGTAGTAGCAATATTATAAAAAAAGACACGATCATGTGTCGCAGCATGAGTGATGTGCATCAGGAAGCTGTTCAAACTGAAATTGCATGTTCTCACACTCAGGACAAAGATGACAGATTGGTCTCAGCTGCTTAAAGGTTACTTGCAGACAAGATAAAGACAACATTAAAATGATAAAAATACCCTAGTCAACAAGTGGCTTATTTCAAAGCCAAAGAACATCATTCTAAAGTTAGAAAAGCTGCATGGAGACAAACTGGGAGATGGCCTATTACAATAATAAGACCTTATCAGAATGTCTAAATATCATTGGAAAAGTTGATAGAGAGCCACTGTGAGATATATTTTTGAACTCTAAGTATTACAGCTTACTGATAAATCCTGCATAGAGAAAGAAATGGTTCTCATAATTTACCTCATGAATGGTCAACCAACTATCAAGTTTGACTCGTAAGTGCATTAAACCTGAGTTATAACATACAGCAGATTCAGTACACAATAAAATATTACAATGAAAGCAAAAAACTCTTATTGCAATGAACAAGAAACAAAGTGCAATGTTTCCGTAACAATAACTGTTACTGTTATTTACTGAAATTCTGGAACATGATGTTCAACTATTATAATTAATGACTGTATAAAAATTTACAGAAAATGGTACAAAGTATAACGACTTGTCAAATTGTAAATTATGTAAAAAAAAAAAACAATATGCAACAAAGAAGTTTCAACAATAAAACAAAATCATTGCAAAAAAAATTAATAGGTAAATTTAAAATTACTGTACAACTTCAAAGGTAACAACTGAATATATGGAATTTTTTTTCAGCTTGGAGAATCTGGCTTCAGCATCAGCTGATAAGTCATTTCCATCTTGAAAACTGCTATGAGAAAGCTGCCTTCTGATAATCCTAAGCAAAAGTCCAGGCTAGTGGGTAATGGATGTGACAGTGCCAACATCAATAGCAGCATAAGGAATGAAGTCATTATAAAACTTTGAGACCAGTGACTAATAAGAGTATAATGTAATAGTCATAGACTTGAACGTGCATTAAAAGATGCACTTTCCAAAACTTATTTTATAAAAAAAATGCTTACATCAATATACCATCTTTACGAAAATCCCCAAATGAGCTCAGAAAATTAAAAGCTGAGAGACTTCAGATATATCAAAGAATAAGAACTATTTAAAGAAGTTGAAATCCCCCAAATTTCAACATTTTGTGCACTTTTGTCTTGAATTTATCAATGCCAGTAAGTGCCTTGTCAAAAGCTTTGCAAGAACAACAAATAAATGTTGCTAGAGCTATGGATGCATTTAGCTTTTTGTATAGAGAAACTTTCTGAACTTAACCCTTTAGGTATGTATATACTGTTTTTCTTTTAGTATATTCAGTCTTA